TAATTTTTATAACAGCCACTACAAATTATTTTGCAGTGATTTCAGAAGAAAATATGCAGCATATGCCAGCGCTGGTGAGTCTGGTGCGTTGTATGGCAGCGCTGTGCTGCATCGAAGAAGTGGTTCGTTTTCTGGATTCCACTGGTGGCTCCCGGCTTTTTGTTGCTCTAATCAGATGTGCTGCTCGATGCGCTACTGCACCGGTCGATATAACTCGAAACTCCGGCAAACGATGTATTCAGTTGGAGGAAGCAACTATCAGTCTGCTTTCACAGTAAGTCCTATACGCAAGTACATGCACAGATGTAGAATCTAATATTTGGCATTTGGGCAAACGGAAGCGGGAGGGAGAGGGGGAGGTGGTGTGCATATAACGGCATAATCGGATAGTATCTGATCCATAGATGTAGATCTGTTTTAGTTATCGCCATATCTACCACCAGAAATATGAGATTCAACGAAAATAATTACGCAGATGTGGATGTTCACAGTTATTTTCGTTGAGTCTCATATTTCTGACGATAGTTTTGGCGGTAACTATAACAGATCTACATCTCTGGAGCAGATATGCACAGTTATTTTCGTTGAGTCTCATATTTCTGATGGTAGATTTGGCGGTAACTGTAACAGATCTACATCTTTGGATCAGATACTATCGGATTATGCCATTATTTCTTGCCATCGATACAATTGGTAGCAGTTTTTGCATCTGTCAAATTATTTGCTTACACAGACGAATCCAGGGATTGAGAGGAAGGAGGGAGGAGGACATGGTGGGCCTTTCGCTCCCCCTCCACCTTCCCTCAATCTCAGCGACACAGGCATCAGTACTGCAAAAGCCCGGGTCTAAAGCTGGAACTGAAGTAAACTAGGGGCCTAAAGTTGCTCTAAAATAATTTTAAGCAACTGTACTACAACTCTATTCCTAGCTTTTACAAGTTCCAGATGGGAGAGGATTTCCCTCTCCACTCCAGGTCGCCCCCTCACCCCATAGGAACCTACTTTCGTTCCCCGCTCGCCATCGTCCCCCTCAGAAGTCCGCCCAGGATCCACCTATGTTTGCTTAAGCTACATCCACGTAACTTAGGAAAATTCCCCCTATCTCACTGGTTATAATACATCCCAGTGTTCGTTTTGTATCCGCGTTTTCCGTATTTTGAGGCTAATTTATCAGCTACAAATCGCAGCTTAGTTT